GTTCGCGTCCCAGACCAGGTGGCTTAAAACTCACGCCAGGCGCGTGTGCGTGCGTGTCCATGATCCCAAGAGGAGAATGGAGGAGAAGGGATTGCGGCGTGACCATCCCCCTTGGGGGCTGATTTCTTGCTTTCTGTCTCTATGGTTCTCTTTCTGTCTGTCTGGCGAGCGCACACGCCCTATAGTGAAAACCTCTCAAAAAAACAAAACAAAACAAACTTAAGTCTTTTAAGATTAAAAAGTCAAAGCTTATTTTTTTTGCAAATAAGTGAATTTATGCTTCTCTTTAGTAAAAGGGGGAATGGAGAGAAAAGAAAGACGTTTTAGACGAAAACTATAGTGCAGTTGTTACTACATTTTAGCACTGTTCATGTTTTTTTTTTTTCCTGAAACTTTTTAAAATTAATTAATTTGCATTCATTCCCTAAGCATCGTCACAGCATACAAAATGCGATTTCCCATCCAGAATATACTGCATAGTGGCTTAATCATGCTTGTTATTGTCAATAATTTTCCATTTCTAGTTTCATATATGCACACACATATATAGGTATACTTATATATATATATGTGTGTGTGTGTGTGTATTTTACTCCTATTTCTGACCCTTTGTCCTTTCCCACCCACCTCCCACACTAGCTCTGGTATCTACAGTTGTTTTCCATTCCGTTTTCACCCACATTTTATCGATCACACAATTTCTTAAATAGTCTAACTACTATCAATAGCAAGTTCAGCTGGTAATTTCAAGGAATACAGTTTTAACTTTAATAAATCAAAGAAATGCTAAGGAACCTTGCTTAAAACTTAAAGCCAGGAAACAGGTCAGGATTCTGTTCAAATAGTAGGCACATGAACCTATCGACAGCTCAGGACAGTATGTAAATCCTTAAAGCCGACAACAAAGCCTAGAAGGAAATCAGCAATGTTTTAGTGAAAAGTCATAAAATTCTATTTCACCCATTCAGTCTCATGTACTTAATCTATCCTCTGATGTGGTTCGAGCTTCCCGATTGAATTCTGGGATATAATATTCAACTTCAGACTTGTCCCTAGGATTAAGCTGGCCATTTTCTTAGTTTTTAAATTCCTGTTTCTGTGTGTCTGCATTTAATTTTCCTGGTATAACACTCCCTTCAGAACTTCTTGGAGACCTGGTCTGGTGTTGTTAAATTGTTTCAGGTTTTGTTTATCTGAGAATGTTCTTGTCTTTTCTTTCTAAATGAACAATAATCTTGCCGGGTACAGTATTCTCAGTTGAAATTGCTTTTTCCTTAACACTTTGAATATATTTTCCCATTCTTTCCTCGCTCACATTGTTTCCGATGAGAGGTCTGCTGTTAGCCTGATGGGATGTCCTTTGTAGGTAACTTGCCGTTTTTCTCTTGCCAATCTTAGTATCTTGTCTTTGTCTGTGGTTTTGGTCAACCTGGCTATAATGTGTCTTGGAGAAGATCTTCTTGGGTTGATTCTATTTGGGGTCCTTTGTATTTCTTG